TGTTTGTGGGATTTGATAGCCAAAAACTGATGCCAGTGATAGTGACAAGAGAGATCAGCCACGATGCAGACTGATGCAGGTCTGGAGATGCAATATCTACGGCATTTGGTGAAGTAACGCAAGGGCATTTTCGTGAGTCATTCGTCATACAACTGTGCAATGTGGCATTTTCCTGTGTCATCACCACGCCTTGGCTTTGGTCTTGCCTCGCCTCTCCCACTCAGTTGTTTCATTCACTCTGCCTACATTCGGACACCCAGTTGTGTGGTGCAGCGGGTACAGTCGGAGGCAATCGGCGGTGAAGTGCATCTGTTTGGCAAGTGCATCGTGGGTGATGATCTCAGTGGGGTGTGGTTGAGAAAGTCCTCTCGGTGTAGACCACCCACGTCATCTTAACAGATATTCAGCATGGCATTTCGGCAGCAATGCAGTCCATGTGGCAGTCAGCGCGGACTCACCTCGCCTTGTTCGCCGTCCTCTTCGCTTGTGGCCAATGCACGGTTCACTGACGAGACGGCGTTATTTTGCCTGAGGCTTGTAATCACAAGCAGACATGTGGTGTTTGGAATGTGGGGAATTGGTAGGAGCACAACTCAGGTGTCGGGCAACCTGACTTGCTCAACATCTCGATAAATGAGCTTCAGTGACAAATAGTGTGAGTCTGGAAATTGTGTCTGTGGAAAATGGCCTAATGTAAACGCATTTGTAACGGAAGTTCGCTGCTAATTTTCAACCCAGCGATTTGGTTTTTTGCCATAGTCACAACGTCTGTGAATATCAGACGAGAGGCACGTCATTCCAACTGCTTAAGGTTGCTGAAACATAGCCGATTGGCAAATCAAACTGGAAGGGTTGTATTAACGGGAATTGATCGGTGAGGGTGTTAGGACAATGCCATCAGTCATCTTCGACACAAGTCATCAGCTGGTGCCCAATACCAGTCACGAAACCTGAGCTGCAAAATGCGCGCATGAATCGAAGTAGTCAACATTTGGTACAAGGTAAAATTTGTACTTGTTAAGAAAAGATGGTGCCAAATAATGCTCCACAAGTATGCAAGAGAGAAGTGGCAGAGAGCAAAACTTCGATAAGCGAGGACGTGGCGATCACGTGAATCCATGAAGAGCGTTTGACTCGGCATAAGCTTCGTCATTTGTCATTGCGACTCGTGACTGCCAACGTGGAGCACCTCAACTCCTCCATCGATCGTTTCCTTTGACTCACATCAATAATCTGGAGATTAAGTGCAGCCTATTACGGTGACCGCACACATGACGCATTTACATCAAAGAAAGTTGGCACAGTTGTCACCTTGTAGTCACCACCCATCGCTTGTGCAATTTGAGAATCCTTGTCTTACTCTCACACACACGCATACACACACACACGCGCGCGCACACACACACGCACCCCTACATACTGGCATCGAACACTTGAATAACGCATTTTCTCGGAAAATACCAATGGTGGAGTGCTTGAATACAGCAGTGTCTTTGCTCAGTTTGTGAGTTATCTACGTCCTGCGCCAGAAAACTCGTAGTAAATAGTGGAGCCAATTGAGTCAGATGGTTGTTGTAGTACCTATAGCTAGAGTTCGTTAATTTTAAGGTGAGCGACGGTTTTCCCCAAGATTTGCCTCGTTTCACGCAGACATTGTGCGAGCATTCTATGACTGGTTGTATTCACTACACAATTCAAACTGGGCAGTCCATGTGGAACAGGCTATTGGTTCGAGGCCACTCAATTGGCGAACCCTTTCGTGGACCTGAATCCGCCAGTTGCTAGTCCCCGTGGTTGCCAACTAATGGCCCATCACAAATTACTCCGGCTTATTTATTGACAGTTCTCCCAACCGTAGTGGTAAATTAGTTAAGATAGGCAAATCACTGCTTATTATGCGACCATTTAATGAAAACTATCCTTGGTGCATGCTGCCAACGTGATTATTTGACGCGGTGTGAGACATCCCTCAGTTATGAAACTGAGAGCATTCTCACTACTGAAATAACACAGTAGTTCAGAGTTATAATCTAACTTCAATTGGTTCATCGGTTGTGCCGGGTAGAAACTCGTTGGGCTCATGTCAATTATTGTTGAAAACAGTGCAAACAGCTGTCGGCCACAGCACGGCATGACAAGCACTTACTGTGTATGGTCCAGACCATTGCATCGCCTTGGTAAAAATCAATGTTCGTGGCACAGCGATGCGGTCTTCGTGGCGATGAAGACCACGCATGCGTGCCCAATCTGGGTGCACAAACACGGCGCCTTTAAACCACACGTGGGGATGTAGGTAGGTATCTGGCATGTTTTGCTTGCACCATCTGTTGATTGCGTGTGTGTGCTTGGGCGGCTAGGTACACGAACAGTGCGATGTTACGTAGCCTGAGCAAGTTGTTGCCCCACCTCCACATGCAGGAGGATTTGGATTTTGCACTAATACTGGAGGTCCCATAGGTGAAGGCGTGTTGGGGCTCGATCCATGGCATTTTGCGGTTGCGTTAGTAGCATGAATTCGTTTAAAATACCCTAACAGCATTTGCAACCTGGTGGAACGTCCTAACTGTGCAGGGTAGGGGCCGTAGCCATCCGTTTTGCCAGGCGACAATTCACCGGACTCGCCGTAGCCTGAAGCGGTGCAGGTTTGCTGTGCGCTTGAGAAAACCATGCCCATGAAATGCTGACCAAATCATGGGTCTAAAGGGTTTGAAATCTCTGCTAAGCATCGCACAACACGTGGTTCACGATTTCTCAACAACACACCCTTGTGTGATCAACCCTGCAGACGACAAAATGGCCGCAGCCCAATGAAATCGGTTGTTGGGTAGCGATTCAACAGCAGCAGCACCAGCAACTTTTAGTGATGTGATGGCTCTGATTCATGTCTGGGAGGCCAGACCGCCATTTGAACAGTTATGCGAAGTTACCCACGACCACACAGTGCCTTTTATTGACCATCTTTGAATCGCACCTACCTCTAGCACTGCTTCGATGTGCAAAACTATAAAATCATTGTACCTTTAAGTTTGACAGTTCGTGTGTGTGTGTGTGTGCTATGGAACGGGAATTGAAAGTGCCCAGAACCTACGTCGGTTCATTTAACCATCATCTTGTTCCAGCAGATTGGTGTAATCGTCTCTGTTTACATAGCTTACTGCAGCGTGTTTGAAATTGCTAAACTGATCCAGTGGTCTCTCATTAGACATGCGACTCAACTTATTGCTGTTTGACAAAAATAACAACTGAGCTATAGTACAATAAGTTTGGTTTTAACTTTTCCACGGTATTTCGCAGTACGATATCTTGGTAGTTTACAGCATGGGATACAAGTGTTGTGTAAGTGGGAACCACATCGGTGTGCTGAAATCGCCTTCAAATCGACATCATCCAGGTCCGAAGGAGGTACATAGGAGCGTGGTGGCAATGAACAATCGCACCCAGGATTACGGATGCTTCGGAATCTCCGAGAAGTGAGCAGGCTGTACAGGTGTACTTGAGTTTGTCGTAGTTCTCACAGCATTCAATTTGCCTGAAGATGATGCTGCCGCAATGGCTGTGCGAAATTCGAGCACGCAGCTTAATGCCAGAAGGCATCATATAAACCGTCTAGAATTGGGCAGTTTCCCCTCAGTTCTGGAGAGGTGGCTTTATTCACACAATCATAAGGGCCAACTTATGCATCTCTGTGCGACATCAAACGCTCAGCATTTGATTTACCGAAAATCAGCCCTTCTTCAATTCTCAACAGCCCAAACTGCCCAAACGCTCAGGTTGGGCAATTCTAACGCCACCTGTTTAAACCTGGTTATTGGGCTAAAGCCTGGAAGTGCTAGAAGCCCAGTGACAAGTTGCACCAGCTCTGTTATAGGACAAAGTGGTCAGCAATGCGTTACGTCGTTTTGGCAATGTCACATTGACTACCATAAGTTCACCCACATATTTATTGGTTCGCAGCGAAACTGACCACGCTGTCCACACACTTCCCTCTTCATGGCCATGCCTCTGGTCCGGGCCTCCGCTAGATCTGGAGCACAGTTTTGGCTCTAATTTCTGTTAATTAACATCCCATGGATAAATATATGCTAATTACACGCAATCGTAATGCTCAATTAACTCAGACACCATTTGGAACCTCATTAATGAGAGTGCGCAGAGAAAGCCCTTTGCAAATCATCTGCTTTTAAACAATGGAAAAATTGTTGGCAGTTTGCCTGTGCGACTCAAGATGCAGGAGCACCAATCAGGCGCCAGCTTCTCTCCCGCGTGCACTCGCATCCACGCCTTTGCCTTGTGCACACATTTGCGCGCGCGCGCTGTCAAGCATTACCTGACAAGGCAGTTCAGGTACAAGTCACTCTGTAGAACGACATGTCGTTGCCGATTGAGGAGGTTGACAATAACGGAAACGCCATATTTTTTAAGAGTCCAGCAGATATCTCCAAGTCAGCTTTTTTCGACAACTACGACATAAATTCACAGGAACGAGTAAATGAGCTTTATGTTCAGAATCGTCTCCCTGCCCCGAAATTCCGCGGTTTTGTCTTTAACTACTCCGCTTTCCTGGCCCTTTTCTCTCGAGGACAGGCGGGTCAACACAGAGTCAAGCAACAAATTAACTACCAAAGAATCAAGGCCATATATTCAAGTGAACACGACCCTAGCGTTGTATTTATGATCATTGAGCACTCAAAGGGACAGAGTCAAGTTCGGGTATTCCGCCTCCCCAATATTATCGCGGGAACAAAGTTCCGTTATGTAATAGACCAGCTCCAGCTCAATCCCATGCATGAATCTGACTTCTTTAAACAAGGAACTTTTCGAAGAACAGTGAATTCAGGATCGAGTTTTTCGACTCCTCAAACGGAAGAGAGTGAAGTCAGTGCAACATCAGCGACCCACAACGTCTACAAGAGTGCTGCGCATAATCCAACTATGCGAACTTTTTATAAGGAAGACGAGGAGCCGAAGCTGCCTCGTGTTCAACCGTTCGCATTTTCCACATTTCCAACCTCACCGCTATACTCGCATCAGCGCTCAGTGAGCCGTCAAAGGACCAATTTGTTTGAAAGCTTTTATCCGGCTGACTATGAGGTGTATCGGCCAGCTTCGCGGAGGTCTCGAATAAACCGCTATGACAATGACTACACAGGATCCCGACGATCATCACGCAGGCGATCGTCTAGGCCACGAATGGAATCTCCAAGCCTTAATCATAACAGTCGAGCGGCCGTACGCTCGAGAATGCAAAATAAGAACAATAAGTACGCGGATTATCAAACTAATCAATATGACTACGAGATGCCACAAAACTTTTTAACTGGTTTTGCTTCTAGGAGTGGATCTGTACCTCATAGATACACACCTTACTATTATTAGTCTTTAATAGTGTATAAAGATATCTGCTGCACCAAGACCACCAAGCTCTTCTATTCTTACCTGACCTCACTAATGTAACTAGAATTGGCGAACTTCTATTTTTAAAATATGAACAATATTGTGCTTATGCTAATCTTACATGCTTCTCTTTATTCTTTAAAAAACTGAACTTCTAGTAGACTCCTTGCCCTTCATTGTTTCTTCTGTGCCCCGACACTTCACATTTGTGACCTACTAGTAGATTTTCGACGAATGCAACACTTTCGTGCTATTTTGAATACCTGGCCTACTATAACATGGATGCTTCTAGAAAAATTTTCATTCTCTTATAAACCGCTTTTGATCAAGCATTTGGTCAGCATTAAAAATCGTTTGTTTTTTTATAAGTTTCTGGTTATTTCATAAATTAGTTTGCGAAGTACTGTAACGTAGTAAATTAATTTTTGGATAATTGCATAACGACTCCGAACAATAATCAAGGAAGATTAAAGCGTGATTCAATTTATACGTCTGCGATTATCGCTTAGGCGAGGCAAGTTACTTCAGCACCATCGTGTAAAGTACAGATCGGTTTGTAAAGTGCAGAATCAAAGTAGCACTAACACCAAAGATGATTTTCGTGGTTATGAAAGCAGATCTGATTTGATCTTAAAATTGCTGATTAGCCCACAGAGTTGTCATATTTATCCATTCGACTCTATAGAGGTGTCTACCTGGTTTCACCAGAGATTGGCTAAAGAATGCTCGAATCTAGTAGCTAACTAAGGTAATTCTTTCAATAATGATAATGAGGCCTCGCTTCTAAACAGACAAAAACTTAAACGCTATTGCAAAGTTAGTGTGAAGTGATTATCATTCACAGAACCGTGCTACCAGTACCCAATGTTGACGTCAAGCAGAAATTAGGCTGAGAGTATTAATAATGTAGCCACCATTGTAGGTTTGATTTCGTTGGACGTAATCTTTAGGCATGCGAACTACAGATGCCTTAGGTATACCTATAAATGTGCTAAATGGAATATGTGACATTTTATCTACTCTCATTTTTGACATGAGAAAACTAAAGCTTGTCTCGGGATACTACATCCCATGACCTTCAGCCAATTTAATTTAAGGCTAACAATAGCTGTGAAGTCTCCGCTGTATCAAAGCATTAAAAATTTTAAACACATATCTTCTCCTAAGTATACAGTTTGCATTGTTTTTCAGTCTCTAAAGTGATCTCGTGTTTAAAAAATAGTGAAAGTTGATCCATGACTTTGACTCTTCATGAATTTAATATCACGCTGCCTTCGTTCGATGGTTCAAATGCATGTGGCCCTAGAGACAGAGGTTCTTAATCAAATGCGAGTAGTGTTAAGCAGTAGAAGTGACACTAAGAGCAGCCTTGGTTTCTTGTGTTCCATTTCATTTTCAGGTAGTAGTCCATAAGAGGGCAAAATAGAGTCAATGTATTACTTGATAAATGTGCCTCCTGTTGAATGAAAGTCATGGTACCTGGCCCGTACAATCCTACAGTATTTTAACGAACCCGCGTACAACTCGGTTTCAGCTATTTTTTGTGTAACTTTTTTTAAGCCATGATGTGCCCCCAGTGTGGATGCAATTCACCAGTAACAAGATAAAAAGATATTCTGAATTGCTCGGTGACTTGACAAAAATTACTTACATTTAAATGCCCTGTGATGATTTGAATTATATGAAGTTGCCGTGCCTCATTTTTTGACATTGTCCAAATATTGAGATAAACAGTTAAAATTTTGTTACTAAATGAACGTGAAATAGGCAGCCGAGATTTATCGAAAATCGCAAAGCCAAGCCCTATTAGAATACATGTTATTCTGACCAACGCTTTGAAGAACAGCTTGCAGAAAGAAGACTGGTTCGAAAGCATTCAAAAATTGATGACATTTTATTCTTATGATGCACGCTTTCTTCTTCTTCAAATGCTGTGATGCTCAAACTTTGACCAGAATTGGTTTCTCCACTTACACCACAAATAACAACTGCAGGCTACGAATTTCTTTTGCACACCCAAGTGAAATGGTAGTAGATAACAAAGCATTTAGGAGGCTAAAATATCGACCTAGACGCTCACTGAGGTTGCCGTTACCCGCGATAGTGGGTTGCAATTTCGGGAAAACTATTAAAATTCCTCCTTATGATCTTGCACGTTTGGGTTTGTTTATTTGTAGATTTTTGGCTGGCTTCATTATCGTGCCTAAATGTGATAGAATGACCCTTTTATCGCAATTTTTTGAGTTTCAAGCCTACTAAAAAATAAGGATTTGAGCGGAATGAACTATCTTAGTGTTAATGTTGAATTTCGATTTTGTTGATAATTTCCTGATTTGTAGCAGTTTCTGCAACTTTGAAAATTTTTTGGGCCTCAGGAAGGATCCTCAAATGGAGTACTAATTCATGGTTGCAACAGCTTTTGAAATTAGCACATAATGGCAACCAAATTTTACAACAAAAAAAGATAAAATGTGATAATAAAGACAGTGCGATGAAGGAACCAACCTTTTGCTCACAAGACATGAATGAGATGGAATGAAACACACTTAAGTCATTAACTTTGTGTGCATTTTTAAATGTAAATGCTATGTCTGAAGTGAGCTTAATTTCTGAAAAACAGTTACTCATTTGTCATCATAGACACGAAGATATACCTTACTACGTTAGCAGATGTTGCGTTAAAAAGGCGTGAATGTTTGAACTGTAGCTGTGTCACACAAGCTGTCATCAGGAAATCACCATATTCACAGGCTACCACAAAACCCAATGCGATATTTACACTTGACTCATAAGTTATCCTCTCATTTGCTCTAGTATCATTAGAGTAGGTTATGCACATCATATCATAAGTATTCGAAAGAAATCACACAATTGCGCATTTTATTGAACGTGCCTGTTCTTCATGAAATGAACGAGCAAAGGCCGACTAAGTTTTTATGAAAATCATGGTGTTAATTCTTCAGCAAACTCACTGACGTAAAACGAGAGCAACATGAAAAATCAAATTTTCATTAACAAATTATTTATTCGAAAGTAAATCAGCTAAAACAAATATTTGTTTAGTGTATAGGTAATTTAACAGAAAATTGCAAATCAGGGTCGGAGATAAAGAAATGGTGTCTGTCGATTGTAGTTTTCTTGGTTTAAGAGGAGATATGACGCCTAGACAGTAACTTTAATCTGTCCTGAAAATGACACCTGAGGTCCGTGTTACCTTGTTCAACTGCGGAAGTTCTAAATCAGCATAAACGCAGTTTTGCACAATGCTCTCCAGACCTATCTCAGTCAATACAGCTATCAGCTTCCTCCTTCAAAAACAAGCATTTTGAAACGAATAACTAATGTTTACGTGAGAGAAACAGGTGCATGATTTTAAAATTTCATTGCCAGCCAGTTTAATTTCGTAAACACGCCATTCAAATGTCGTCACTCCCATTCCGTAATAATAAATTTGCAAATGCACCCACGCCTATTTTAAAAATGAAAAATTGTCTGTATCAGATGCAAACAAATTCTGAAATCAGAGCATGACAATTTGGTGCGTTAGATACGGAAGATGTCGAAACAAATAATAAAAAATATTTTATTCCAAGTAATGGAAATAGTAACAGTTAGCATAGGCCAATGTGAAAAGTATCACCACTTTAGAATTTTTGAGGTTTACTACAACGCACCGCAATACGTTTTAATTAACTGCATCAGTTCTTGTATCATTTACGGTAAGTCAAGCAATTATCTGCGATATTTCGCGCCTACTAGGGAGGTAAAGTAATTGAGAGTATTTTCATCAAATTTAAATTTGGGGGCATTTTCATCAATGAAAGAGCATTATATCCTATGCTATTTCACTTTATTTGTGGCTTCCAGATCGCAGTAAAATACCAAATCTAGTTAATTACTCCATGTGGCACAAGGCAATTGATCCGCTAAAACGGAACAAATGTTCGCAGTCTGTCAATAGGGGAGGTCTAATTCATTTCAAGAAGACTACTGCCTCGATATTTGGCAAGCTCTGGCTAGCCCTACCTGCTGTTCCCCTCCTATCATTGCATTCTAATGTACCAACAGTGTCATTAAAAATGTCTTCATAAATTAAACTGCAATACAAATGATTTCCAAAATCGCATAAACTTGTGAAGCGATGAATTTTATACCGACACCACTTATTGCTTATGCTTTTTAGAGCTATACTCAATCCCAGGAGTATTGTTTCTATTTTGACATGCTGTTCCTATTGCTGATTCCCCACGCGATGCTCCTGCATAACCCTTGGTCACTAATTTGTCGCAAATAATGGGTTGCCATGATCTCTAGAATTTTGACCACGGATATAAATTTTACGTTTAGGTTCGCATCTAATTACTTTGCCTTTCTTTATTCTACTCACATATTGCTTTTGCCTAGACTTCATCATACCAGACCGTATTTCAGCATTTGGAAAAATAAGCCATTCTTTTCATCTCTCGACAGCATAATACATTGATGTCCCAACAAATAGATAGGACCCTGAGGAGAATAAACCATAGCCATGGTTATATCTGAAGATTACTTACCTAATTTCGCAGTAATAAATTTAAATTTAGTGATCATAATTTTAAACAATTTAACCTGAAGCAAATTTTGGGTTGCTAGAAAAGTGAAAGTGCAAAAAAGGAACACTTATTTGCATCAGTTGTCATCTCGGTTTCGAAACCCAAGTTCAAGTTTTACTCTGGTTTTGCAATCGAAAGAAATTTAGCCGATGACAAATGATACTTATTCGACACGTAATTAAACGTCCCTTATAGGTGAAAAGCCCCCCATTAATAGTTAAGATCTTTTCTATTACTTTGATGCAATGCAGCTAACATTGCTCAAGAAGACGTTTTAGAGGAAGACCTTTAGTTCGACTACGTTTATCTCAGATTTTTATGTTTGATAGCCTTTGTCTTTGTCGTACGATATGGGGACATCTAATGGCCCACAGGATAGTGTGTCATCTC